GAAGAGGCACACATTCAGTGTACACGCCAAAATCTTCCAACTGCTGCTTGATCCATAGGAGCGAGCACAGTAGGAAGGTGCAACAACATATTCTGCTTCAACTGTTGAAAGAGCAACTGAGTTCTGCTTCCTTGTGCCCCATGAGATGAGACATGATCCTAGAAAATGAGCCATTCCAGAAGTACTTTTCATGTTCATAAGATAACCTGCAAAGTCAGCATCAACATACCCAATAAGATTAAAATTATCACCTGAAGGGTAGTACAGGACCAGGTCCTATGTTCCCTTAAGATATCTCAAAATTCTCTTGACAGCCTTCAGATGAGATTCCTTGAGATTTGACTGAAACCTTGCACATAGCCCCACACTAAAGACAATATCAGGTCTGCTGGCAGTGAGGTAGAGAAAAGACCCAATAATGCCTCTATACATGGTTTGATTTACAGGAGAACCAGATTCATCTATGTCCAGTCGAGTAGCATATCACTTTTGATGCTTCCATATCAAACCTCTTCAGGAGCTCCTTGATGTATTTCTGTTGACTGATGAATGTACCCTTTGTGGACTGCTTTACTTGAAGACCCAAGAAGAAGTTTAACTCAACCATCATGCTCATCTCAAACTCACTTCCCATGAGTTTGGCAAATTCTTCACACAGTGAATCAGCTGTTGCCCCAAAAATGATATCATTAACATATACCTGAACGATGAGCAGGTTCCTCCATCGTTTCTTCATAAACAAAGTGTTGTCAATTCTTCCTCTTGTGAAACCATTTTCTAAGAGAAGCTTTGACAATCTTTCATACCAAGCTCGAGGAGCCTGCTTCAACCCATACAATGCCTTGTCCAATTTAAACACATATTCAGGGTGTTCATGACATTCAAAACCTGGAGGTTGCTTTACATAGACTTCTTCCTTAAGGAATCTGTTCAGAAATGCACTTTTGACATCCATTTGGAACAGAGTGAATTCCATATGTGATGCAAATGAAATGAGGATTTTGATAGCTTCCATGCGAGCAACCAGAGCAAAAGTCTCATCGTAATCAATTCCTTCCTCCCGATTGTAACCCTGAACCACTAGCCTAGCCTTGTTCCTTGTAGTGTTTCCATGTTCATCAAGCTTATTCCTGAATACCCACCTGGTTCCTATGATTGTTCTATCTGAGGGTCTAGGTACCAGGTGCCATACATTGTTCCTTTCGAACTGATGCAACTCATCTTGCATGGTAGTGATCCAGTCTGCATCCTTTAAGGCTTCCTTGATGTTTGGGTTCTATTTGGGAAAGAAAGGCTGAGAAGGCAAGTGCATTTCTGGCTTTTGATCTGGTCTGTACTCCTGAATCTAGAGGAGTAAGTATATTGTCAAGAGGATGGGAGCTTTTGTGTTTCCAGTTGGGAATTTGAGCTTAATTTGTAGAGGAGTTGGGTAAGTCTGACTGGTTCCCTAACATTCTTTTCTCAGCAACCTGTGGAGTACCTTGCACTGCATCAACCACTCTTTCTTCAGCTTCAGTAGTTGTAATTGTGGTGCCTTTCCGTTTGCCATATCAACGACTTCACCTAGAACTTACAAAGGCTTTCCATCTTGATCACCCTTGTTGCTTTTATCACAAGAAAGATAGGACTCATCAAAGATTACGTGTACACTTTCTTCAACACACTGAGTCCTCTTGTTGTATATTTTGTAGGCTTTACTTTGAGAAGAGTACCCCAAAAAGATTCCTTCATCACTCTTGGCATCAAATTTTCCAAGCTGATCCTTTCCATTGTTGAGAACATAACATTTGCACCCATATATTCTTAAGTGAGTCAGCTTGGGTTCTTCCATTCAGCAACTCATAGGGAGTTTTGTTCAAGAGAGACCTGATCATGCACCTGTTCACCAAGTAGCAGGCAGTGTTGACAGCTTCAGCCCAGAAGTTCTTTGCAATCCCACTATCGATCAACATTGTCCTTGCCATTTCTTCAAGAGTTCTATTTTTTCTTTCCACAACTCCATTTTGCTGTGGAGTTCTGGGGGCTGAGAAGTTATGAGTGATCCATTCTCGTTGCCAAAATTATCAAACTTGGCATTGTCAAATTCTGTCCCATGATCTGATCTTGTGCAGGCTACTTTTGAGTCCATCTTCACTTGAATTTTCTTCACAAAAGCTACAAACACTTCAAAGGTCTCATCTTTTGACCTAAGAAAAAGATCCAAGTGAATCTGGAATAATCGTCCACTATCACAATATGTATCTTTTTCCTCCTTTGCTTTGCACTCCCATAGGACCACAGAGATCCATATGAAGGAGATCAAGTGGTTTTGAGGTGCTGACATCCTTCTTTGGCTTAAATGAGGATTTCACATGCTTCCCTCTGGCGCAAGCATCACAAGCTTTGTGCTCCGCAAACTTTGACTTGGGCAGACCACGCACCAGGTCCTTCTGAACTAGTTTGTTCAGCAGAGAAAAACTTGCGTGTCCCAGTCTTTTGTGCCACAGCTCAGCATCATCATCAACTGCTTTCAAGCAACTCAGATCACCACTTTGTAGAGACTCAAAGTCGGCAACATAGATTTTCTTGTGTCTTTTGGCCAGCAGCATCACTTCGCCTGTTACTAGATTAGTAACTGTGCATATTTTTTACAAGAACTCCACCTTGTTTCCTTTATCACATATTTGAGAGACACTCAAAAGACTGTACTTGAGCCCATTGACATAGTACACATTCTCAATTGAGTGAGTGAGTGATTTGCCAATCTTTCCAACTCCAAGAATGTATCCTTTTTTCCCATTTTCAAAGGATACACTCCCTCTTTGCAGGGCTTTTAGTGAAAGGAAGTCCATAGTATTCCCAGTCATGTGCTTTGAGCATCCACTATCCATGAACCATTATTGACTGCTTCCTTTCAATTTTCCTTGCACAAGGAAATCATCAAGGGTTAGATTTAGGAACCCAAGCAAGTTTGGGTCCCTTGTAATAAGCAAGAGGATGAATAAGTGCTCTTTTTGGTCCATGCAGGTAACATGCGATTTTTATAAGTGGCACCTGGTCCCCTTTTAGCAGATACTCTTTCAGTAAAAACTTTGTTTTTCTAAAGAGATAGAGCTTTGGCTTGGCAATCTTCTTTGAAATGCCCATTGTTCCCATAGTGGGTACATAACCAATTATCGGGTACAGTAACATACTTGCTATGAGGGTTGTAGGGAGTTCTCTCCCTTTGAAACCCTATTCCCTGCCTGTTTCCACCATTGTGAACACACGTGGTAGTAATAACATCCGAGGACCAGGTCCACTTAAGAGACTTTTCAAGATCATTTTTTACTCTATCCAATTCTGCTTGTAGTTGTCTAGTTTTTTCAAGTTCAGCACATAAACTGATTTTTACAGCATTTAATTCATTTTCTAGCCTGATATGTGCTTCACTAGCAACTCCTTTTCCTTTATCAGTCCTCCCAGACCCACACTCTACTTTGAGTTCCTCTATTGTTTCCCTCAAATCTATGATCACAACTAGGAGGTCATCTCTTTCTTTCTCTAGGGCATCGATTTTTTCCACCAAGTCATTCTTTTCTTTACTTAGATTTTCAATGGTTTCTTTTAGGTCAACAACTACTACCATCAAGTCATCTCTTTCATGTTCTACACTAACAATTTTTTCAGTCAAAAGCACCTTTTCATTCTCCAGATCACTTATTGTTTCGTTTAGATCAACCACACACACTACCAATTCATCTCTAGTTTGTTCAGCATCTCCTAACTCTATGGTCAAGGCATCCTTATCATCTACAAGACTATGATAGGCATCAATTATTACATTATCTAATGACATGAGTTTTTTTAGGAGAGTAGGATTTCAGATTTCTCTGAACGTCCCTGAAGTTTACCTCACCATTGTCATCATCTTCATCATTGTCTGATTGAGCCATCAAAGCAAAATAGCAAATATTGAATCATATTCATTTGCATCACTTTCAACTGCCATCATAGAGCTATCACCTGTATCAGTTTCTTCTTCAGACTCACTGGAGGAATCTCCCCATACTGCAAGAGCTTGCTTTACAACATTGTTAGCGACGTTCTTTCTTTTAAAGCGTTTGTCAGGCACCAGGTTCCTCTTTGCTGCTTTGTTAGGGTTTTACTTGAAATGTTGTTGCTTCAAGAGAGGGCAATCCTTGATAAAAGGCCCTGACTTTCCACATTTATGACAAAGGTCATAATTCTTTGGTCTGTTGGAATAGCCTCTTTTTGGTATCCCTCTGTTTCTTCTGACCATCTTTTGAAACACTACTACAAATAAGACCTTTAGCGGCAATACAAATTGGCTTTAGGGGCAATAATAATAGCCGCTATATCTTTTATCGGCCATTGGTGTTTAGCCGCTGATGTTGGGGTCGCTAAAGCCTTTAGCGGCTATTGTCATAAAAGCTGGTAAAAGGTATTGTTTATTGCCGCTAAAGATTATTATCTTTAACGGCAATTATTTGCGGCAATTATAATGGCTGCTAAATCTAATCCATAACGGCTAATTATACTGCTTTAGCAACCATTTTTTATAGCTGCTAAATTCAAAATAATTACCGCTAAAAGTTCATATCATTAACGACAATTGTTATGGCTACTAAATCCAATCCATAATGGCTAATTATTCTCCTTTAGCATCCATTTTTATAGCCGTTAAATTCAAAATAATTGCCGCTAAATGTTCGCATCTTTAGCGGCAATTATTTTGTGGCAATTAAAATGGCCATAGTATCTCTTCTGAAAACATATTAGTTTGCCATTTTAGTGGCTAATATGTTTAACTAAATTGCCGCTAAAAGTCAATATTTTGAACGGCAATTGTTTTACAACAATTATAACAGTTGCAATATCCCTTGTAAAATATCTTAATTTGCCCATTTATCGACCATTTATATAGCTAGTATATCAACTAAATTAGCGCTAAAAGTCACAAGCGCTAATAGCAATATTGTAGCCACCATTAATAATAGTTACTACATTTATCCAAAATATGACCCAAATAAGAAAATATATTAATATTAATTTAAAAAAAACATAATATATCTCATTAAATCTTAACAAATTAAAGGAAGCACCAATCAAAAATATTGATGTCACAATAACTAAACTTATATTGTTTGAACTAAATAGCTAATGTCATTATATAACTAATCCAGACGAATGATGGTCTTCAAATGATTTTCGCAACTTTTCATCATTATGAAATCTTCCACCCGCTAAATTATCGAGCATCAAACTGTATGACCTGAAATTATAAAATAATTGTATCAGAAGATAAAATACAATGCGGAAAAAACATCTTCAAAATTTCATCACTGTCACGATTCTTAAACAGAAAAAACATTTGTATTAACAGAACAACCATCAAGCAGAATAACCACAAAATGCAGAAAATTTCAGCTGAAAACAGTCACCAAAAACTGCAGAAATTGCTGAAACAGTGCAGATATCAGTAACAGGTTTAATATAGATTTTATTTGCTCTAATGCTAGTCCAAAGCTTCAGGTTTCAGCAGCTCACAGATGTAGAAACAATGCTGAATTCACAGTCCAAAATGTGCAGGTTTTGCTGCTCAAATTTTGCTACCATTGAGAAATTTTCAAAGTTCATCAGTCAACCTAGACTCTCTTCACTGGCTATACAAGAATGACAGGCTTTTCACTATGGCTGAAGCATCTTCTGGGAATAGAAAGTGGCTTCAGTCAATCCCAATGTTTTTTTTTAAAATTCGAATAAACTTATTTGAGTTATAGAAAGTGGCTTGCATATCTGGCCATTTATGCCCGTAGGCACTATTGGTTCGAAACCTGATCCTATTATGGCTGGATCAAGCAGGTTTACTGCAGTAGTGCAAGGGAAAGGCGGCCATGCAGCAACACCACATAAAACTAGGGATCCAATGTTGGCTGCTTCTATGGCAGTTCTTGCACTCCAACAACTCATTTCTCGAGAAACTTATCCTCTAGAGCCTAGGGTATTTATCGCTCTGTTTCCATTTAGTTACAATATAGTCTGCTTTTTGTTTAGAATCCTAAATTCCAAGTAGAATGGTCTAAAGATCCCTGTTGATTTGCAATTATATGCAGGTTGTCTCTGTTACCTTTGTAGATGGTGGTCAAGCTGGAAATGTAATCCCTGCAAGTGTAAGGTTTGGTGGAACCTTCCGGTTCATGACATTAGAAGGATATTCCTATCTTAAGCAGAGGATCAAAGAGGTATGCATAAGGGTTTTGCGAGGGGACCAAGTCCCTCCGCAACTTCTAGAGAACTTTCCGATCTTATGAGCTTCTATAATCTATATGAACTGTAGCCTTGCTAACTTCACCTATATCAGTCAATAGAAGGGTCAAACGATAAATCTACAACTTGTGCTTTACGCTTTTCAGATAAATTCAATATCTAGCCGGTCTATAATTCAGAAGAAACGAAACTAGTATTAGATAAAATGACTCTTTGAGTTCTTAAAAGAAGCAAACTATTTTTCTGAATTGATGTGAATTGTTTTCCAGTTTAGGACTACTAAATAGAGACAGAACAGTAAATTTCGTAGGTCTTTCATTTTAAGGGCAGCAAAGACATCAAATTTATTTCCTAATAATTTTCCAAAAGGTTAGAGAATCTAAAATGGGGCCTCTACAATACAGAGCCTCTATGCTCTAGAGAATTTTAATGCTTCTAATGCATATATATTTATTTAAAGGACTAACTACTAACTAGAAGTAGAATCAATAAATTATAAGGAGACGAGTCAAAACATGTATAGGAAAAAAAATCAAAGAAGAAGTACCTTAAATGAAAAGGGGGAAAATTCCGCTTTCATCTAGCATATAGAAATTTTATTCACATGTTAAAACAAATTTGAGAATTCATGTTCCATTCAATACGTAATATTGCTTTCTTCTTAATGCCTCGTATTACACTTAAAATATGAACAGAATATCAACTTTCAGATTTTCAAGACATGTAATTGATGTTAATCAATACAAAAATTACAGAATTAAAATAACACAATAACCATGCACATCAATATGATCTTTAATTAACGACTTGATCAGAGGCGGATGTAGGATGCAGTGTATGACCTACAAGTTCAACTAAACCCATAACTTTCGACGTGAAGTAAAAAATTATATGTAAAAAGTCATTAAAATTGCAAAAATAGTATATATGAGCCCATAACTTTAAAAATATAATGGGTTCAATACTAAAAACCTAAAAATTGAACCCATAGGATTTAAATCCTGGATCCGCCTCTAGACTTGATAGAAAGAGTAGGTCAAGATACTCCTAACCTTTACTTTCACAGTGAAGTCTTCAAGATTTATGTTATTAAATCTTGACAATGAACACCAGTGATATCCTGAAGAAGCAACTTTATCATCTTTAGCTCTTGCACCTAACATAAAGAATGAGGGCATTTGGAGACAGTTTTAGATTAATCTGTCAAGAAGCAAAAATATATTGCGGAAAATATTTTTTTCACTAGTTCTATCCAATAAATGTTATGATATTAGAAATTTACGCTCAATTTTTTAAATAACAAGTTTCAGCGGCATTCCTGACAATTATATGGAGAGCCATTCTTTCACAGTTCTTAGTGTAACACAAACTATTACTATCATAAAACTCATGTAAAGTAATGATGACATTCGCTTAGAGAACTTGTGACATTAAATATTCTTCAAAAAAAAAGAAGAAGATGAGTACTATATGTAATCCGCATTCCACATTATTGTAGGTACGCACCATGGAATTGAATATTAATCAAAGGGAGCCACCACTTAACTTGGAGGTCATTAAATAAATGTGGCAAAGCAATATAGTTTCATGTGATCTTATGGATCTCTAGATCTAGCACAAGAAAATTCTGATTAATAAACGTATGTATGAATGGGCAATATAAATCAAACTACTTACACCTAAGATTATCCAATGAACAAGAAAATCCATCTCAATCTTTACCAGTTATATCCATAATTTCAGTTTTATAATTTGCAATAGTTAGGATTCAGGAACTAGTTGAGTTTAACTTGCAATGCTTGGGAAGTAACTTGACAATAAAAAGGTTTGAAATTAATAGGAGATAGAAATGTCCACCAAAGTAGCTTTGTGCGCTAAACATACAATTTTCACAACACACAGGTCATAAAAGTACCTCTATATTGGGGTTGACAGCATAATATCTAACTAAAGCTTCAGTACCATTTTTGCCATGAGTAATCTCAATTACAACTACTATCGTCAATTAGAATTTTGTATTGTTAGTGTAATGATCGATATACGCTGACAAGACACATATCATTTGCATTCGGAACAACATAAGATAATAGAAAAGCTTTTGTTATATCTTATAGTTTTAGTGTCGTCATTTGCCACATCTAGAAGTTGTCATTGCTAATGCCCTGGTGCAGCATACCATAGCATGAAATTTATGTAAGGGAGGGGGGCATCGGCACTTTGCACATGAATTAAGAAATAAAGAAGCCAGAGAAGAAGTATTTGAATCCAAAAAAAGGAATAAGATATCTAACATCTACCAACACATTTCTTGCACCCAATCTTTTTATTCTTTTGCAATAAAAATATTGGTCATAGACTAACCAAGCAAAAATAAATTAGAAAAGTTGCAAAAAGGAAAACTACAACATCAGAAATTCGAACTAATACTGCTCACCTATTATGTTCTAGCTATGTCTAGATTTAAATTTAACTATTACTTGTGATCCTCTAGTTTTTTTCCCTCGACTTTTAAGACAAACTGAAGTATCTTTTCTTTTTAGCAGTAGTTACATACATACAAATTCTCTCAGTAGTAAATCATAATGAGCACTAAAAATTCAGCAAATTTGTGATAGAAGTAAAGAAAATAGTATCAAAACTAACATAACCATAAGAATAATTATTCTCGTCAATAACCATCAGTCGAACTAAAAATAGTCTTAATATTAAGCAAAAAGTTGTAAGTTCATACCTTAATCCCAATCGAAACATACTTTGCTAGTGTAAGACGCTCGATAAAAGGCTAAGCAACCAAACCAGAGAAAAATGGGCTTTGAATCACTTCAAATACAAGTTATAAGGCAGGAAAGAAGAAAAACATAACAAATTGAGGTGCAATTTAAAGAAAAAATCAAGAGAAGATAAACATTCGTTTAAACCAACACCTCTAGAGAAAAAATGTTTCCAATTAAATTTTGGTAAAATTGAAGTATGGCAATCCATTTGAATTTAGGGATTTGAAATTTGAATATTTCAAAAAACAGATCTAATGCTTTAAATGTTCATCAAACAATAACACAAAAGTTCTAAGTTCTAAACGTAGCCGAGCTTACCTCGAAAGTGCGGACGATTGTGCGAGCGGGAAGGGGGGGACTGACGGAACTGTGACAACAGATATTGATTGTTTCAAATCAGGTCTAGCGAGAGAGGATAGCAAGATTAGAGAGAGAAATAAGTTGGGCCTTGTGGATGATTAGGGTTCTTCCTTGAAATTGAGTTTTTGTATTTGCTTTATTAACCACACACTTTTTTACGGAAAAAGACAGTGGAAGGAAAATGAATTAACAAAATTTGCTTCCCCGTAAGTTGTATAATCTTTACTGGCTGTTTCTTTTAAATTGCCGGTAAAGAGTAACTTATCCTGGCTATTCTACATCTGCCGCGAATATTTGATTTCCGAAAACTAATTTGCGGCAATTATCTCATTGCCATTAAATAATTATCGCTAAAAGCCATTTATGTTGTAGTGAAACCTTTTGGTTAAATAAGCCATGTCATTGTCCTCCTCACTTGAGTCATTGCTTTCAGCTTTGAGTACCAGGTTCTTTTTCTTCTTTGGTTCTCTTCTATCAATGTCCTTCTTCTTCTTCATTTCGTAGGTTTTCAGATTTCTGACTAGCTCATCTATGGTCAGCTCTTGCAAATCCTTTGCTTCAGTAATGGCATTCACCGTACTTTCCCATGAGCTGCGCAGGACACTGAGAATTTTCCTCACGAGCTTGTTCCTAGGAATAATTTCACCAAGCGAGTGTAACTCATTTATGATGGAAGTGAATCTTGTGTGCATGTCTTGAATGGATTCATCGTCCTTCATTCTGAAGAGTTCATACTCAGTGGTGAGCATGTCAATCTTAGATTGCTTTACTTGAGTGGTTCCCTCGTGAGTTGTTTGCAAAGCTTCCCATATATCCTTGGCAGATTGACAGGCTGCGATCCTATTGTATTCATCAGGTCCTATGCCACACAACAAAATTTTCTTAGCACGAAATTTTTTCTCAACAGCTTTCCTATCTGCGTCATTGTATTCTTTCCTGGTTTTAGGCATCGTCTTAGGAGGGTCTCCAACCTTCTTCGTTGGGACATAAGGACCATCACAAATAACATCCCACAGCTCAGAATCTTCTGCCATGATGAAGTCATGCATTCTTGTCTTCCACCACCCATAGTATTGCCCAATGAACATGGGTGGTCTATACGTAGACTGACCTTCTTCAAAATTTGGTGGAGGAGCCATGAGGATCCTTCCTAGGTGTTAACCTGGTAGAAAGAACCCGCTCTGATACCAATTGATAGAATATATAAGTCCACCAAACTATATAGAGACCATGTCCTATATGAGTTTCCACTGAGAATGCTAATATAACAGTAAGTAAAAAGAACAGGGAGTTTTTACGTGGAAAATTCCCTGCTCAAGGGGATAAAAAACCATGACCTACACTGGTAGGATTTCAACTTCACTATGAGAAACTTTAGATTACAACCTATGCAATCTAGAAATTAAACTCTTAATCCTTCACTAACTTGTAATACACCTATTACAAGCCACTTTGCAATACACCTATTACAAAGACTTCAACTCATGACTAACTCTAGTCACGACACAAACACTAAAGGTTTATGGTTTACAAGGGGTTCCTAAATCACGCTTCTAGATAAGCAAAGAAGGAATTACAATGAAAAACAATTACAAAGTTACAACTCAACTAAGGACATACAAAATACTTGCTGTAGGAACTGGTCCGTAGTGGTGTTGTTCTTTGTTCTTGATGCACTTGAGAATTGAATGCTTGGCAGGCAAAACGGTTGGAGTGCTTGAATGAATTCTCAAGTGTTCAAGTGATGTTTTGTTGTAATGTTTAATGTTAATACAACATGGATGACATCAGTTGAATGATGTAATCACTTGGTAGGTCAAATGAGAAGTGGCTGCAGAACTGTGCTGCACTGTTTCTGTGCACAATGCAGGCAGTCACTTTCCAGCTGTAGATAGTTGACTTCGTACTGCTGTCAGGGAAACACAAGGGTATCAGGTCCCTGTGTTGATTCTCTATCTTCTGAAGTCATAGCAACTCTCATAAGCTGAAGTCCGTTGATTTTAGTTGTGAACCAAGTGTGTTAGGTTCCTTATCTAGTTCTTGGATAGTAAGTTTGTTAGATCATCAAAACATAAAGCTAAGGTACTGTAACCCCATCAAAGACCTTCGTGTGGACATTAGGATTCACAAACATTGATCTGTGTACAAGGCAATGAGCCTGGCTTTAGAAGATGAAGGAATACAGGGACCTAATCGGTCCAGTAAGGCACCCACTTTGCCTTTTGTATCACGACTCCTTCGGTTGGGACATCATCTCCAGTCACTCGAGAATCTTTCGATTTTCTGTCATCCCGCCATCCAGTTACACGTCCTTTTCAACCACCATCACTTCCAAACCGTTGACTCCTGAACATCAAATTCGACGAGACAAAGGCCTTTGCTATCGTTGTGGAGAAAAGTTTAGCCCTGGTCATTGCTGCAAACCTGGGACTTTTGCTCATCTGGAGTTGATGCAAGAAAAGAACGACACACAAATTGTGAATGATAACAACAAAAATGACATGTTTCCTACTGATGTGGGCACAATTTCTCGAACTTCGCCTTGAGGTCAAGTCGTCTTTCCAGGAGGGGTGTACTGATAAGCCACGTATCTTCCAGAAGAAGCAAAGAAATTTAGGAGAAGATAATTCCTGGAGCTTTCAGTTATTAGAAGTTTATTGGAAGTTATCTGTTTTGCAGTTTTATTATGGTTATTAGAAGTTATTTATCTTTATCCTAATTGGTTATGCAGTAGTTACGGTCAGTCTATTATATAAGTAATAGATCCTGTAATGTGTAGGTATCATTATCAGAATCAAAACTACTTTATTCTGGAGCATTGTCCTCTCCATACGGACAACTTTATTGGTGTAGTTGTGTTTAATATTCTTGCACAAACTATTGCTAATAATATTAACTTTTTTGTTCTATTTATTTTGTTATCTACTTGTGGTTCCTATTATTAAGTTCCTTGTACACGTGATAGATAATACAGAAAATATGAAATGGACATTAGCAAGTAATGTTTGATTTAACTTGTATTTCTTCAATTTAGTAAAAATCACTTAAAGTCAATTTTAGTTTGAAAGTCATTGTCATAATGAATAAATTTGAGGAATAATCAATACTTAAAATTTATGTTAAAAATAAAATTTAAGGGACACATTCATTTTTGTTAAATTGAAAAAGAGGGGCCTGTGGACTGGCATCGACTTGTTTACTTACCTGGTTTCTACCTTTTCTACCTGTGTCTTTGCTCATTCAATCAGGTTACAATTATTAACACTATAAATATGACAGTTAGGAAAATAGCTAGCTTTTTGTACATATATCTAGATAAGTATTCATCATCTCCATACATGTGTATGCTTTTTTCTCGCTTCTTTTGCCCCAAGTCGCGTGATTTTCTACAACAAATTTTTACCAAGTACTACTACTCACCATTTTCTCTCACCCCCCAAAAGCCAAAAATCTCTTCTAAACATTTTCCCTATACAAAATCTTTGAATCTTTGATTTTCATCATCCCCTCTAGCCTCTATCTCTGCATGCAAAACAAGAACGTAAGAAGAAGAGAAGGATTATAAAATTAAGCCCTTCTTTTACTTTCTTGCTATCTTGTTTTGTCTATTCCTCTTCAAGAAATTAAACATTATCATCTTTTTTTGGAAAAGGGAAAGAGCAGAAAAGATTAATAATGGCTAGCATGGAAAATATATGCAACGTGGTGCATGAGATGAGGCCTCTTTTGCTTATGATTTTAGGGCAGATAATACTTGCTGGAATGAATATTGTGTTCAAACTTGCCACCAGCGATGGGATGAATTTTAGCATTTTGATCTTCTATCGTTGTCTCTTCGCCTCTGTATTCATGGTCCCTCTTGCATTCTTTATTGAAAGGTCCAATCTTTAATTCTCAAGTTTGTCAGTGAATTTAATTTTTTTCAATAATAAATAAAGGAAAACAGAACTGGGAAATCCTGATTTTTGTGGGATTTATCTTTGTATTTTAGCCAGGTAGAGTTTTTCTAATGTCTAATATAGATTCTTGAAGACATGAAATTTATGCTTGCTTTCTTGAGCTTTGAGTTTCTTACAAATGGTTCTCATTTCTATTTTCAGGGGAAAAAGAGCCAAGTTAACAAAGATGGTTATATTTCAAGGATTTCTTTGTGGTCTACTTGGGCAAGTTGTTCTATCTTTACTACTGATTTCTTCGCCATGCTCTTTTTACACTATTTTCTTTACTATATAACTTGACACCCCTATTTCTTCAAAGTCCAGTTGAAGTATGAAACAGTGCTTTCTCATAGATTTCTTGATTTTTTATTCTTGACTGAAAATTATGTAGTGTAAATGAATTTTTTGCCAAAATTTTGGCAATTTGATAAGAGATTGTAGTGAAGAGGTTTCTGTTGCAGGGGTTCATTAGGACAAAACATGTACCTACAAAGCTTGGTCTACACATCAGCAACTTTTGTCTCAGCCATGTTCAATCTCATTCCTGCCATAACATTTGTTGTTGCCATCATATTGAGGTATTTTTGTGAGTTTAGTTTCATAAATTTCCAAAAACAAATGAGGTAGTATACACATTCTGTATTGCTCCAGGTTAGAAAAGTTGGGCTTGAAAACACCAGCAGGTAAAGCAAAGGTATTGGGGACACTCGTTTGCATCAGTGGAGCAATGCTCCTAACACTATACAAAGGGCCAGAGATAAATATAGGGAAAACAAACATTAACCTGTTGCATTCCACACATCATAAGGGAGAAAGTAAACCTTTAGCAGGGGCTCTTCTTGCCCTAGCTGGTTGTACTTGCTATGCACTGTTGTTGATTGTTCAGGTGAGTTACTGATAAACAATGATGCTTGGAACTGTCATTTATATTACTGTCTCGTTTCGTATGTAATACGTAGTTTTTTAAGACAAAATCATTTTGTAATGTTTTAAAGTTATAGTTCATTTACGCGATAAGTCTGTGTTGGTGGGAGGTAGCTGGTGGAATAGTCGAGACGCACATTAAGCTGGCCGAAACACCGCCTTTAGTAAAAAAGTTTTGTTATAAGTTAACCATTGTCAAAAATGTGTTCACAATAATATAGGAGGGATGTAGTAATTCAATAAATACCAAAAATTCGAATTTTAATCAATTCAAGGTACCTGTAATTCTATTTAGTTAAAGATGAAGCTTCTAAAACAATAGTTTGTATTTCTGTATATACAGGCTAAGGCAGCTCAGCGATATCCATGTCCTTACTCATTCACTGCTCTACTGAATGTAATGGCAGCAGTTCAATGTTTTGTTGTTGCAGTAGTTGTGGAAAGAGATTGGAAGGAATGGAAATTAGGGTGGAACGTTCGACTTCTTGCTTCAGCATATACAGTATGTACTAATGAGAATAAATCATTTCTTTTCTTTGTAAATTGAAGCAGAAATGATTTTCTCACACTGTTGAAGTTGTGTTTCAGGGGATTTTTTGTTCTGGAGTACTTTTTACCATCATCGCATGGGTAGTCCGTATGAAAGGTCCAGTATATGTATCCGTTTTTAACCCTTTGATGCTTGTGATGGTGGCAATTTCTGGATACTTGTTCTTGGAAGAAAAGTTGTACCTCGGAAGGTATATGCTTTTTCCGCTTTCCTACTCCTTTATCGGCCACTTCTTCGCAATGCTTAGTTATTGAGTGTTCATATAATCGATAACAAAGTCTAACTAGTTGAGTTGTAATGTTGTATATTGTAGTGTGCTTGGATCAATTGTGATAGTGTGTGGACTATATGTTGTCTTGTGGGGGAAAGATAAAGAAATCAAGAAACTGAGCCAGTTGGTGCCGGATAAAGAAGAGACTGACATAAAATCTTCATCAGTTAAAGACAGTAGCCATGGTGGAAGCAGCAAAAGGGAGGTAAAAGAAGATGAAGGAGAAGAGAATAAGAGGGATTCTCAGGCTGGTTCTGAAATTTTAGGAGGTACTTATCACTAAAAGATGAAGGATTATTATCATCAAAAAGTGATAAAACAAGAAAAGACAATTTATTCTTTATGATGGCCGATAGAGGCAGTTTATGAAGCTGCATTTTGCAACACTAGCACAAACTAGCTAAAGTTTTGCAGTGACTATATGACATGCTAGAACTAGCAATGAAGTAGCCATTTTTGATCATCTTGTTCAATCATTATTTCTCAAGTCTTTTTCTTCTTTTTGGCCAGAAATGATATAAAATGTATAGAAAGGAAATGAACAACATTTAATTGAAATGATATCATTCTCCTTCAGTTTTGATTTTCATTTTAACACGGCCGAGAAAAAGTAGATGTATTTATACCAATTGCAATGTGTAGAAGAGATCTTCTGGAGGCTTGAGAAAGAGGAAATGGTCAGTGGTTTTTGGAAGAAAAAACCTATAACTAAGAATTGTTTCATAATAAATTGTTTTATATTATGAATCAATTGCTAGTTATAGGTTTCTTCCAAAATTCGGACAAAAATCATTTGCTGAGTTTTGTAAGTTTTGATTTGAAGAAAGACGAAGAAAGCTATAAGTAAGAATTGTTTCTTCATACTTCAAATGGACTTTGCAGAATTAAGTGTGTCAATTTATAGACCAGATATAGAGACATTTTAGCCTTTTTGAGAAAAACTCGTGATCAACCTAATCTTTACTTTCTATCAAAGATTATTCATTTATACTAACAGAGTGAGCAACCTAATCCGTTTCCAGTTACAGTTTTAATGGGCATTGACAAAGAGAACTTTTGTTGTTTTAAGAAAAAATATAACTCCAGTATTTCTACTAATAGCTACTACTAGTTAGCTGGTAAAAATAGCCAGATTTTGAATTTCTCCAGTTAGGACTGCTGTGAATCTAAATTTTAAAAATAGCCAGATTTACAACTGGTCGTTCAAAAATAGCCCAATTTTAAAAGTAATCGAAATTTAGCCACTTTTTATATAAAGATAAATCTGAGCGAAATCACTGTTCAAAACCCGGAAAATACTCCAGTATATTATGCTGGAGTTCCAGCATAAGTATAGTTGAACTCCAGCATATTATACTGGAGTTCCAGAATAAGTATGCTCGAACTCCAGCATAATATGATGGAGTTCCAGCATAAGTACACTAGAACTCCAACATAATATACTGGAGTTCCAGCAAGTATATTGATCCAGTATAATATACTGGAGTTTGGAGCACGGGTGCTCCAGTCTCCAGTATATTATACTAGAGCTAGCAAAGTATACCGGTCCAGCATAATATGCTGGAGTTCATACACAAGTGCACCGAACTCCAGTATATTATGCTGTACCGGTCTTTATTGCAGCAAAATAGTGGTTATTTTTCATTGACTTGGTAAACGCTGGCTATTTTTGATTGACCAGTCCGAAAACTGGCTATACCGTGCTATTGACCAGGCCCATACCTACGGAGGCCCAAAGGTTAGCTTGATATCGGCCCAAATACACTGCCCAGCAGGGAGAAATTCAAAAATAGCCAGATTTACCACTGGTCGTTGAAAAATAGCCAAGTTTCAAAAGTCATCGAAATTTAGCCACTTTAAATCTGAGTGAAAACTGTTCAAAATCCGGAAAAATACGCCCGCAAATTTTACGGGAGTTCCAGCATAAGTATGCTTGAACTCCCGTAAATTTTACGGGAGTTATAGGATAACTATGCTGGAACTCCCGCAAATTTTATGGGAGTTCCAGCAAGTATAATTGTCCAGTATAATATACTGGAGTTTGGAGCACTGGTGCTCCAGTCTCCCGCAAATTTTACAGGAGTTAGCAAAGTATACCGGTCCAGCATAATATGCTGGAGTTCGTACACAAATGCACCAGAACTCCCGTATATTATACTGGACCAGTCCCTGTTGCAGCAAAATAGTGGCTATTTTTCATTGACTATAAACGCTGGCTATTTTTCATGAGGTTTTTTACATGCTTGATCCTTTTTTAACTATTATTTATAAAAATAGCACCATTTATTGTTTATTCCATAAAGAGCACTTTTTTTTCATTAATGGCACATTATAAAAATTAAGCTCAACATCTAATAAGTTAACTCACTCACTAATCACGGGAAGTACTTTTTTTTTGTCCATCTTCATTTTCCCTTTACAGCATTCATCTTCTTCACTCCATATATTCATCTTCTTCACTCCATATTTTGAAAAGTTGCTGCATATCTCAATGCCACCTAAATCAAGATGTATTGATCATCTTTTATACTCTGTATATCAGGTATCACTTTAATTCAAAATGTATATTTATGTATATATTTTTTGTATATTTATTTGTGAAGTGCTATCTTATTTTAAGCGGTATTTTTAATGTATATTATATTTTATATGTCAAGTGTCATTATATATATATATATATATATATAAATTTTTTGTATATTTATATACCATCTTAATTAAATTTAAGATATATATTTTTATGTATATTTCACATGTCTAAGTGTCATCTTAATTGAAGATGTATTTTTTATGTATTTGTTTTGTATATTTTATATGTGTTAATTCAAAGTATATTTTTATATATATGTATTGTATATATTAACGTATATTATTATCGAAATAAGAGCTTTATATTAAGAAAGGAAGAAAGAAGTAAGAGAAAAACTTAAGAAAGATAACTAAAAATAAAATGAATGGAACAAATTTAAAAAATATATTGGCTTCGGTAGAAAACAAAACTAAGAAGATGAAGAAAAAGAAGGAAAGCTAATAGATAAAGAGAGAGAAAAAGACATGATTTTTGTACAAATAATTATTAACTTTCCATTCAAATTTCTTATGTTTAGGGATTAATAGTTAATATTTCTATTTTAATGGAACTGTGTGCTACAAATATAAATATTTTTCTGCCATATCTGTAATATTGAATTTAATGCTAAAAATTTGTTATATTTCTTTTAAACTGTGACAGTTATGTAAAATCCCCATTTTTCATTGACCAGTGTGAAAACTGTCTATACCATGATATTTTAACTGCCCAACATGCTACTCCTTTTAATCTCAACATGTAGACATCTATCTTCTTCCCTCTTTCTCCTTGCTTGTCTTTTTCTTTTTCTTATTTTTTCCTAAAGTGAGTTTCTTGGACATTTCCCTCTGACTAGGGCATGACAAGAAATCGTATTGTTTTAGAAAATATCTTTTCTTACCTAAAATTATTTTACAGTTTAATTACCTTGAATCGATGAACTTGCTTTTCTAAAGACAAATATACTTATACTAAATGGCTCACTACAAGAAAGTAGAGATACGACAACATTAAATAAATGTTATATAATGCTGCGTAAATGTCGTAAAATTGATTTATCGATATTTAATTTACATTTGTATCAAATGTCATAAATTTTGGGGTTGGGAATTTTCCGACATTTAGATAAATGTCGGTACAAAATTTACGACATTTATTTATGACATTTTTTGAAAGATCACATAAATTGCTGACATTTAAAATAATGTTGGTAAATAAATTGTGACATTTATTCAATGTTTTTAAAAAATGTCGCATTATAATTTGTGACATTTTAGTAAATGTCAATAAGAATTTTATGACATTTAAGTGAATGTCAAGTAATTTAGTGACATTTTTTTAAAATCTTGTGAAATATCACATTAAAATTTCCATATCAAATTTTCTAATATAGGAATAATAATCTTTTATTTAACTTTTTCGTCATGACTCAAATATATTTAATTTGTATATTCATAAATATCAACCTTTGAACACAATGTAACAAATATGAAATAGGAAATGTCTTTAGACGTTATATTCAAAGAACATAGTACTGAGATAATAGAGGTTCTCCTTACAAGTTAGACGTTCAAATCAAATGACCTGTTATATCTCAAATAAAATTTAACTCTAACTAAATCATAAAAGATAAAGTAATTTTAACTTCTAGAATAAATTCTGCAACAAGGCTTTATGGATCCATCTTTCCACTAGCCAAGTATTCCTTTCCAATAATTGATCTTATATTCTTCAGAAGCTCTAAAAGAATCACATAAAATAGAATTACAACTATGTAAAAAAACTAAAAAAAATGAAGTGGCTTGCATGTTTTCCAAACTTACCCACTTCTTTTTTTGGGTCCCAAGTTCATTAGTTTCGGTCTTCTTAATTTTGTCAACCCGAGAAAGAATATTAAAAAGGTTACTTTGATAGTTTATAGAATTCAAAACTGAGTGTAGTGTACAAGATATAATCAACAAGACAAAGCTTATGTATCCCCGAAATGTAGCAACTTCTACAAAAACAACATAAGAACTTTGAATTACAAGCAAAAGTCTAGAGGCAACACTGGAAACATATGATAGCACTTTTATACTAAATTTCCTTCTTTGACAGCATTGTAAAAGTTCTTTAAAATTGTAAGCTCTATTATTCACAAATCACAAAGATATCATCCAGCACAGACCCATCAATTCTAAAATACTAACAGACAAGTGAATATCAATTAAAATAAAGTAGCTATGATTAAGCAACTTCAACCATATAGTGACAGAATTTTCACCAAGCCAAACCAGAGCAGAAGAGGCAAAATTCAGAAAGAAATAAGCCATCCAAAATTATCCTACTTATAACTCTCATATTTGTAAGCTAGGCCAAAAATTATCCTACTTATATCTGAAAAAATATAAGGTCACCATCATATGCTCTGCCAATAGACTTTCTGGCTCCTATTTTCATCACTTTGATCAAGACACTCCCACATATTTTGCTCAAAAAACGAGATCATAACACCTGGACAATTAACTCACAACTTTGATCTAAAACTCACTTTATTTTTGTGAACAATTGAAACCGGTGATAATGATTGTTGGCGATCTTCAAGTGAGTTATCAGAAACCTATCACAAAGAGGGAGATTATTATAATTAAAAGAAAAATATATAGCAATACTAACTTTAAGTGAAAATTTTTTGTGAATGAGCGTATAGCTATTTACCTGCTCATTACTGATTGATTTACTATTTGAGCCAATTGTAATACCCATACTCTCTAGATATGCTCGGACTCCTGCCTTCACTTTATCATCTATTGTTGCTTTCATTTCTTCCTTTGCTTTTGCCAACTTTTTCTCCATATCAGCTTGGATAGCCGTGGTAGCTTTTTGAACTTCTATCTCAACCCTTGCATCAAAATCTCTTTGCTCAGCTTTGGATCGTTTATATACTGGGCCATAAACAAAACTTGGAGCTGCTCCTTTCCCTAGAGTTCGAACAATCCCATGAGTGTCTGATCCCATAATTTGTGCATACACATCATTAGGAGCACTTCTAGGGACATTTCACTCAGGATACACCTTAGAAAGTTCATCCATTTCTTTCTTTTTGAAAGAACGGAAAGCAAAAACAAGTTAACAAAATCTTGTAAGCAAATGACAGTACCTTTTTATTTATAAAGAATGAGAATTTACCATAACTTCTCCAGCTTTCTCATTTACTGGTTGATCATTCTTTCTTGAATGTGTTTCTTTAAACACCTCAATACGAGTTGGTTTTATGCCATTCTTCTCTGTCATCTGTATTAAATAGTAAAAAATTATAGTAAAGTATTCAAGAAAATAAAAACTAGTACATAATTGAAGATAGTAGAGAACGATTATGTCATACATGATCTATAATTTGAAAATGACTTTTTCTTCCTGATGTGTGTGGCATAGTCAACTTCTTTCGGCTTTTTGTTCTTCTTGCTCTTTTCCTACAAAAGATAATTACAATATTATATTAGAGGATAGACACGATTCATCGCAAAAAAATAATAAAAAATAAAAAAAAAAAGTTCAAAAGATCCAGTGACAAGAATGCTATAGGCCTAAGGTGCAACAGAAGAAAATGCTTGATATCCTGGAATACCTTTGCAGCATTTGAGCTCCAATAATGAACTAATGAACGCCACTGATATTCTTCAACCCTATTTGGACGATGAGCTAGCGCTCAATATCAGTACCATACGGTTCACAGCCACAACTTTTTGCTTCATGCTTCCATTCTTTCCATTTAGATCCAACTGATATCATCAACATGCGTCTCATATCATCAGTTGCATCAGTATTTCCCTACACACATATTTAGCATAACTTATTTATATAGAATAATATAAAAATAAAAATCTTTTAGTATGTAATTTTTGATTTAGTACTAAGCACCTTAATATGAGCCCATATTATATCCTTGAACATCTTTGGCACAAGCCTCCAATCTTTATAATTCAATGGCGCTAGGATACCATTTCGTGCTATGACACCAAGTTTAGAACTCAATCTAGATGCTTCTGGTCCAATTGGTTGGCCATGTTCATTCAACTCAACATGTAAACTGCCACCATCATTTCCCCATCCTGAGTGCATCATAGTGGGACTCCTTAGTCGTTTAGATTGTTCTTTACTCTCATTGAAACCTGTAAATAATCAAAGATAAAAGGGAGGTGCATTCATACTAGTAAAAATCAGCAATTTTGGATTATGGCATGATAAATTTGGAGTCAGATTAATAATTTGAGATGGTATAACCCATCGTTTCTGTATTTTGTGTCTTATGTGTAGTGTATTAAATTTAGTTCAAAGAAATGCAAACAAAATGACAAAGGAGGAGGAGGGAGGGGTTAGGTTTGTAGTCTTTGGCACTCCTTCCCTAACCAATTCAATATCTTCTTCACTTTCAAATGTAGTATCATCTAGTTGTTGCTCAGGCCACAATTCCATATGACCGTCCATATTCCTAGTTGCTTGTGTGTTTTCACCTAAATCGTAAAAACCTCTTGGCTTAAGTTTAACAACAATTTGCCACTCCTCTGCCATTGGATGATGGACATAAAACACCTGTCGAACTTGAGAAGCAAAGATGAAAGGTTCATTTTATAATTGATGCCTCGTGTAAAGCACATGATTAAAATTCACAAGAGTAAATCCATAATCATCTTTCTCGATAAGCCCCTTGTTATTGTCCGCCCATTGACAGCTAAACAACACAAATTTGAACTTCTTGGAATAATAAAACTCAATTATGCTTGTCAGGACCCCATAAAAAGAGATTTCTGCCAATATGGATTTTTCTCTCTTGCGCTTGCATAACTTTGAGTTGTAGCCTTTACCATAATTCCACTATTTTGAGTTTTACGCTGGGCATCACGAGACTTTGTTAAGTATCTAATCCTGTTACTTATATATCCAGTCATCCTTTTTGCTTGTTTTGATGGACCAATAGCTAAATATTGAATTTTTTCAGATATTTGCTCACCGGCCATATGTATCTTCTCAACCTGTCAATTAAAATTAAAGATATGATTGAAAAGAGATATCATTACAACTCCAATAATATTTTTGGAATAAATTACTTGGTTCATAATTACGTGTTTTCTAAACCATATGTGAAATTTTTCATTGTGAATCCGATCCACTTGATGTCTGGATAGACGAGGATTGCTCTTCTTGATTTCTTTTATATGCTCACTGCCATAAGTAGAACACGTAGAACTTAAAAAAAAAATTACAAATATTATTACGTATTAAATTAATTATAAAATGTAAATAATTATTTGGAAGAAAAAACCTATAACTGAGGATTGTTTCATAATAAATTGTTTTATTATGAATCAATTGTTAGTTATAGGTTTCTTCCAAAATTCGGACAAAAATCATTTGCTGAGTTTTGTAAGTTGTGATTTGAAGTGCAGGATCAATATATAGAAAGACGAAGAAAGCTACAAGTAAGAAGTGTTTCTTCATACTTTAAAGTAGCGGAATAAATCATTCGCGCTAATGTATTCATGAATACAGAAACGGAATTCGCCTAAAAAATAAAGGAGTCCAGCTGTTTAATAACGGAAAGAGATCAATTAGCGTGTATCACTCCTAATTTAACTCAACAAAATCAATTCTACATAAATTTCGCTGCTATTGTATTGTATCCCATGTATTCACTGGACTGTATTTATAAATACAGTGAGGTAAAAAACAGGGATTACATCTGTTTAATTATGTATTCCATCTATTCGCACGATTGTATTCATAAATAAAGTGAGGTAATCCGCCTAAAAAATAGTGATTACGAGTGTTTAAGAAAGCGTAATATTGAGTTGTATTCAATTTCACTATATTAGAATTCAATTGTATTCAAACAACAAAAATAAGAAAATAGGGTGTATACTGTTCTATTCAATTCGACTGTATACATTGTATTCAATTCACATATATTCATTATTTAGTATTATACATTGTATCAATTCACCGTATTCAATTCGATTGTATTCAAACAATAAAAAATCACAAAACACAGTGATATTCGGCTGTATTAATAAAATACAGATCTTCAGAATACATAAATACAGGCGAAAAAATAATGTATTTATAAGAAAATACAATGTATTTGAGTGTATTTGTACAGAATACAATATTTTTTTATCATTGAATGTGACTAAATAGCAAAAAAAAGAAAAAAGTTCGCCGAAGACGGCTTTCTCCGGCCAAGCAAAATACTGGAAAGTGGAATAGGAGGAGGAATAAGAGAATCGTCATTCTCCTGCAAGTTCAAATACAGAACGAGATGTAAGAAATGTAATCCTAAAATAATGTTCAAAATGAAGCAAGAAAATGAATAAAACTACCAAGTTGACTTAGAAAGGCAAAAGAAAAAAGGAAAGCAAATCCATAAATACATGTCCGTACCTCTGTATCGAGTTCGTGAATGGCTATCAATCTAGGGTAGACCAGAGGAATTGCCGATGGAGTAGAGAGTGGGGAAACATAATTAATCCAAAAGGACCTACTATCGATCTGTCCATCAGTTCTAAATCCAGAAGGACCTACAATCGATCTTGTTCCTTTTTGCTCAAAGAGAGAGAAGGAAGAGAGAGAAAGAACATAATTAGTGTATTTTATGCATCAATGCTAGGTATAAATAAATATTTATTTTATTATAAAATAAAAAAGGTAGCTATAAATAATAATATTTTGAAATTATTTGGTTTATAATAAATAAGGTGTAATAGTTTATTTGTCACGACCCGTATTTCCCACCCTCGGGGGTCGTGATGACGCCAACTAATGTGAGCTAGGCAAGCCAATTCTTTAAAACTAATTACTTCATTATCCATTTATTCCTTTTTATCAAACACAAAGCGATAACGTATAAACAGCGAAAAGTTAAATTAAGCGGAAGAAAATAATGAAATATCTAGAATCTATGTCTATTACAATTATTCAAGCCTTAACCATCCAAAACCTGGTGTCACAGTGTCACAAACAGTCTAAGATTCACTACACACAAAGTCTGAAGAAATAACAGTACACTGTTTCTGAAATAAAGAAAATGAAACAGGGAATAGAAGATAGAGGAGACGCTAGGGCCTGCGGACGCCTGCAGGTCTACCTTGGATCTCCACGTGGACTGAAGGTAGCCACCTGATCTACTGTTCGAAATCTACAGCACTGGGATCTGCACAAAAGTGTGCAGAGTGTAGTATGAGCACAACCGACTCCATGTGCTGGTAAGTGCCTAGCCTAACCTCGGCGAAGTAGTGACGAGGCTAGGACCAGACTACCAAATAAACCTTTGCAGTTCAAATATATATAGCGGAAGAGAAATACGAAAATAAACAAGTAAAGATGGGAGGGGGAAACATGCTTCGGGGAAAAACAGGTAAAAACAGGATATCAATAGAATATAAAGGAATCAAAATCCAACCACTAACAAGAATAAAGAAAAACAAAGGCAGATTTCACTTTCTCTTCACATCTTGTTGCAGGCGTGCAACCCGATCTCATTTCTCATATCTTGTGGCAGGCGTGCCACCCGCTCCCATTTCATGTATCTCGTGGCAGGCGCGCCACCTGCTCTCATTTCATGTATCTTGTGGCAGGCGTGCCACCCGCTCCCATTTCATGTATCTTGTGGTACGCGTACCAACCGCTCCCATTTCATTATGTCTTGTGGTAGGCGTACCACCCGCTCCCATTTCATTATATCTTGTGGTAGGCGTACCACCTGCTCCCATATACAAGCCAAGAAAAATCACAAGGAATCCCGGCAAGGGAATAATAATATCAAACAAACATCCCGGCAAGGGAACAATGATATCTCAACAAACATCCCGGCAAGGGAACAATGATGATAATAACATGTGAGGCACAACAAAACCACAACGGAGTCATAACAATTTATAACACAAGACTCACGGGCATGCTTGACACCAACGTATAGATACTCGTCACCATGCCTATACGTCGTACTCCACAATTAACACGTAGCAAATAGACACAACTCGTAATCCCTCAAGCTATGGTTAGACCAAATACTTACATCGATGCCACGAACACAATTCACGATTCAATTATAGCTTTACCCCTTGGTTCCACCACCAATTCGCTCGTATCTAGTCATAAGTTACTTAATTACATCAATAAACGCTAAATGAATCAACCCCAATGCATGAAAATGAGTTTTCCAAAGTTTTACCCAAAAAAGTCAAAAATTGCCCCCGGGCCCACATGGTCAAACCCCGAGGTTCGAACCAAAACCCGATCACCCATTCCCCCACGAACTCAAATATATAATTGTTTTGAAATCGGACCTCAAATCGAGGTCCAAATCCCTAATTTTTTAAAAAACTAGGTTCTACCAAAACACCCAATTTTCCCCAAGAAAATCATTGATTTGAAGTTGAAATCATGTTAAAAGATGTTAAGAATTGAAGGAAGTTAGTTAAAATCGACTTATAATTGATTTGGAGAAGAAGAAATCCTTGAAGAATCGCCTAAGTGTACTTATGTTTTGAGAGAATGTGAAAAATGGGTTTAAAATCGTCTAAGTATAAAAGTTGCAGGTCTCAGATGTGGGAACTGCGAACCCCGACCTCTGCTGGCTTGGGAATTGCGAAGGGAGGCTGGGAAATGCGAACTTGGGAATTGCGAAGGGAGGTTGGGAAATGCGAACTTGGGAATTGCGAAGGGAGGTTGGGAAATGCGAACTTGGGAATTGCGAAGGGAGGTTGGGAAATGCGAAGCCTGCAGGCTTGCAATTCCTTAAGTCCAAAATTTTACCCCGTGGCCTATCCAAAACTCACCCGAGCCCTCGGGGCTCCAAACCAAATATACACATAACCTCGAAAACATCCTACGTACTTATTCGTGTACTCAAATCACCAAAATAACATCATGAACATCGAATTAAACCTCAAGATCAATGAAATTTCTCAGAACTTCTTTAAACATCAAATTTGCATTTGAGGTCCGAATCACGTCAAATGGATTCTGTTTCTTACCAAACTTCACAGAATTATCTTAAATTATATATAAGACCTGTACAGGGCGCCAGAACCAAAATATGGGCCCGATACCAACATGTTCTAATCAAATTTCATTTCCAAATCCTTTAAACAATTTCAGAAAACAATTTTCTTCAAAAACTCATTTCTCGGGCTTGGGACCTCGGAATTCGATTCCGGGCATACGCCCAAGTCCCATATTTTCCTACGGACCCTCCGGGACCGTCAAATCATGTGTCCGGGTCCGTTTACCCAAAACGTTGACCGAAGTTAAATTAATTCATTTTATAGTCAAAATTTATCATTTTCACAGATCTTCACATATAAACTTTCCGGCTACGCGCTCGGACTGCGCACGCAATTTGAGGTGAAGCTAAAAGAGGTTTTTAAGGCCTCGGAATGCAGAATTCATTTAAAACAAGTGATGACCTTTTGGGTCATCACATTCTCCACCTATAAAACAACCGTTCGTCCTCGAACGGACAGAAGAAGGAAGTACCTGAGTCGGGGAAAAGATGGGGATAACGGCTCTGCATATCGGACTCGGACTCCTAGGTCGATGCCTCAGGAGGTGATAACTAGGGATTTTGACGCATTTTATACCCCTTTGTGCTTATGCTTTGATTATAAATTCATACAAAATAGTCCCAAAAGGCTCATAAGTTGTGCTTGATTGCAGGTTTGATCAACAAAGTGACAAGATGTCAAAGATCGGCTCAAAAGGAGTGAAACCTGCACAAGTACCAAAGACAAGACAAAACTCAGGAGAAACAGGCCTAGTGCGGCCGCACTACACTTTGTGCGGTCCGCACTAGGGAGATTCAGAGAGTTAGATTTTCAGGCATCAAGGCAGTGCGGCCGCGGAAGGTTTTGTGCGTTCCACACTGAGGCACCGCGGCCGCACGACCATTCTGTGCGGTCCGCAGAACCAAATTCAGAGAGATGCCACATTCAGAAGATGAAGCTTGTGCGGTCCGCAGTCCATTCTGCGCGGACCGCATTGAAAGCCTCCGCGGCCGCAGTCCATTCTGCCAGACCGCATTGAAAGCCTCCACGGCCGTAGTCCATTCTGTGCGGTTCGCGGAGCCTGGGTTCAGAGAGTCGAAATTTCAAGTTCAAGAGCCTAGTGCGGCCGCACACCATTTTGTGCGGTCCGCACTAACCCCGCAGGGGCAATTTTGTCCAGTTTTTCCAGCTTAGTATAAATAGATTCTCTTTCCATTTTTAGGGTATCTGACGTTGTAATACAGTAGCTGCGCTCGTGAGAAGACTTTTCTTAGCCATTTTGGGCACTCTTACTTAGTTTTAATCGTAGAGACTTTGTATTTACATTAGTAATTAATTAATATGTCTTTCTCTTCATCTATTTCTTGCTTTTCTTCTTCTAATATGAGTAGCTAGACCGCATAGCTAGGTTATGGCTCAACCCTAGTGTGGGCAATTGATGGGTCTTGTAATTTAAGGTTAAATTGACTATGAGTGTTTGTTATTTGGGCCAATTTCATGGTTAATTTCTGAATTAGTGGTTGCAAACACTAGTTTGTGTTGAGTTGACTTGAGCTCTTCTTGAGAAAGAGAGCCTAAGTCTCCGAAATGGGTCCAACAACGAATTGGGGCGTACTCAAGAGATTGATAGCCCCAATTAAAGGGTTAAACCTCGAGAGAGTAATACCCGAATTGAACCCTAAGTTGCTTGTGCAAATTGGCATACCCAATTGGTCTTGAGAAAGCCAATTCGGGCAAAATCACTCGAACCACCGAGAGGTATAGAGTGGGTAAAGTAGTGCAACGGTTATTTCACACTCCCAATCATGTCAATTATGCCTTAGTTTCAAGTACCCGTCATTTGCCCGCCTAGGCGGATGTCACTACCCTAGTGCCTTTTTAAGCCATTAGATACAACTTGTAGCAATTTACTCTTAGCCTAATCTAGTTGCATTTTCAATTAGTAGTTTGATAAAAATAGAATCATAAAGAAAATCCAAAAATGAATAGAAGACCAATTAAGAGCACATACGCAATCCTAAACTAGATAAATACTCGATTCCAATCCTAGCTCTCTGTGGATTTGATCCCGACCCAAAATCGGGTAAAAGCTATTGCGACCCTCTCTTGCTACTTATTAGTAGTGCGGAGTTGGCTGCGATCACTTTTTTGGCGCCAATGCCGGGGAGCTAACAGTTTTGGCTATCTATTTAGTTAGTTTTGTGTGTTGTTCTTCTTTCCTTCTTTGTTATTAAATTGTGTGTGTCAATACTACAGGTACCAAAATGGCTTTAAATGCTAATGACCCTCTTGGAAACGTGCTTGCGGGGGAGGAGGTAGATGACATTGGAGAAGACGAGGTGCCTCTTGTACCTCCCGGACCACGCCGAGGCCGCCAGGCTAATGCTAATAAAAACGTTCCAGACCCTCCTCCGCCACCTCCAAGAGCGGTTCCTCGGGTGCTACCAAACCAAGGCTATGCAAGTGCCATTGTCCCACCCAGAATCCGGGCGGGCAACATTCAAATAACCAATGTGATGTTGACCTTACTTGAGCAGCGTGGGTATTTCACGGGCGCTGTGGATCAAAATGCCTACAAACATCTCA